GGAGCTGCACCCCAGTCAGCATTGCTTCAGTTACTTTTCAGATAGGATCTTGAGCTTTTGACTACGACTGGCCTTGGACAGTGATCCTCCTACTTCTGCTTTCCTATACAGTTGAGAGTAAAGGTATAAACTGTTACACTCAGCTTATTTATTTATTTATTTATTGTTGGTTGTGGAGCTCGAACTCTGAGCCTGGGCACTGTCCCTCAGGTCTTCAGCTCAAGGCTACAGCTCTACCTCTTGAGCCATAGTGCCACTTCCTGTTTTCTGAGTGGTTCATTGGAGATAAGGGTCTCATGGACTTTTTTTTTGTCAGTCATGGGGCCTGAACTCTGGGCCTGGACGCTGTCCCTCAGCTCTTCAGCTGTAGACTAGTGTTCTACACTTGAGCCTCATCCCCACTTCCAGCTTTTTCTGCTTATGTGGTGCTGAGGAATCGACTGAGGGTCTCATGCATGCAAGCCCCTCTCATGTACTTTTCTTGCTTGGGTTGTCTTTGAACCTCCACCCTCAGATCTCAGCCTCCTGAGTGGCTAGGATTACAGGTATGAGCACCTGTGCAAGGCTAGAAGCTATTTAAAACTGGCACCTCCTTCTTAAATCACAACATATGCACAGCACTTATTCAGGAAAAACCAGATCAGGTGAGAACAGAATCAATGGGTGTCAAATGCAGGGCGGGGGGATGGGGGGGTCACTGGTGTCTCTAATACCCGCCCTGCGGGATGGTGGGAACTCAGCGATGGCATGTTTGGTGGCTGCGTGTCAGGCCCGAGAGCTTCATGGAATGCCACGTGGATGCGTCCAGCCAGTTGATCCTCAGGATGCCAGTGTGGTCCCCGATGCTTCTCATGGCTGAACCCTAAATAGTTTGGAGTCACGCTGGGGGTCTCCTAGGGCTGACTGTGGACCACCAGCTGCCCACCATGGTCCTTAAAGGCTGGAGCTCCTCCTCCATCTTCATGGGGAGGGAGGGGACAGGGCTGAGGGGGCGGGGCTGGATTCTTCCCTGAAGCCAATCAAACGGCTCCTATCCTGCCGGGCCTGGGCTGAAGCTCTCCACCAGAGGCCAGGGCAGAAAGCAGGCCTTCCACCGGCTCAGTTCTTCTTGGCCCGAGGGGAGAATTATTCCCAATCCAAACTTCAGGACTTTGAAGAAAAGCAAACAAATCCAGAGCGAGACCCAGAGGCCACGGCCTGGGAGCGGGAATGATTAACGGGCTCTCAGGGCTTTTATAGGGGTCAAAGGTCTACCTAGAAAAATTGAGCTCAGGGCAGATTTGCAGAGGTCTGGCTCGCCTTTGAGCTCCACCCGTGTCAGTGCGGGGGGGGGGGTGGTGTCAAGGGTGGGAGTGACGTTACGTGTCCTGCCTGCCCGGGCTGCCCCCCCCCATCCTGTGAGCCGGTCCCCGCTCCCCCACACTGAAATTCCTCAAGATGATCGCTCTATCTAGACCAGCCACTGACCTCAGGCTGCTTCCCTGTGACCACCAAATGCCCACGTGTGAAACGGATCTGCACAGAATCACTGGGGGAGCAGAGCACCCCATACGGGCCCAGCTGGGGGGGGTAAAGCACCCCAAGTGTGCCGGGCACCTGGCAGGTACCTGTCCACCTTGGCGTCTGTCCTGGGCGTTCTCTGTCCCCACCCTCTCTCCCATGGCTGGGCGGGGGCTGCCCACGCCCCGTGGACTTTAGCCAGGCCATCCCCGGCCTCTGGCCCCGGGAAGGAGGCCGGCACCCACACCCGGTCTAGGTGCCCAGCTGTGTGCACCCGGGCTCAGTTCCCACTCTACGGAGCAGAGGGGTGCCCCCAAGAGCGGGGACTGGGGCTCAGGAGCCTCTCTGGGATCAGGGGGGGTGGACGTGAGGGTCCCCGGAGGGCCAGGCCGGGCGCTCCAGCCGCTCCCTGGCGCCGGCCATGCCCCTGCTGCTCGCCCATGCGCAGTGCCCCCCCCCAGGCTGTGGTCAGACTCAGAGATGGCGGAGGAGCTCCAGACTTCAAGGACCATGGTGGGCAGCTGGTGGTCCACGGTCAGCCCTAGGAGACCCTAGCGCGGCCCCAAACTATTTAGGGTTCAGCCATGAGAAGCACTGGCATCCTGAGGACCAACTGGCTGGACGCACCCTCGTGGCATTCCACGAAGCCCTGACGTCGGCTGGACACTGCCCCTGTGCTGGGAAGACAGGGCGGGCCGGGAGGGCTGGGCTGTGCATAACTCAGCACTCAGCACTGAATCCTCCCAGGAGATTCCCGAGGTGTGGAGTCTGAGGACCTAAGCTGGACGCTCACAGCAGGGGGCCACCTGAGCTTGGTGCTCATGGCAGGAAATGACGCATCTCACTCACGGGGCAAGCCCTGTGGCAGGAAGGGAGGCATCACCGGCGCCTTTCCATGCAGTTTTAAACACAGCGTGTGACATGTCCACCCAGGCCATGGGCCCCCTGTGCCGTGACACGCTTACCTGTGCCGTGCCCAGTCCTGTAGCTGCTGGGACCCATTGGGGCCGTGCTTGCTCGAGGGCTGTGGGCTGGGGAGCCCTGCTCCCCCTGCAGTGCGGGGAGCTCCTTCCTCCTTAGGATTCCTCAGCTCATCGAGACCCTCAGTTTTAAGCCGGGTACCAGTGCTCACACCTGTCATCCCAGCTACTCAGGAGGCTGAGATCTGAGGATCACAGTTCCAAACCAGCTGGGGCAGGAAAGTCTAGGAGACTCTGATCTTCAATCAACCAGTCGTGAGCTGGAAGTGGAGCTGTGGCTCAGGTGGTAAGGCACCCACCTGGAGAGGAAAGGCTAAGGGAGATCACCTGGCCTCGAGTTCAAGCCCAGTATCCGCACATGCAAACATTAATTCTCATTGGCTTGAAGGAGAAGATACCCTATTTTCTCTGTTTTGGAGGCCGCACTGCGGCGGGGGGGGAGTAAGAGGGGGGTCAGCCCCTCCTCACCGGCCTCCCCGTGGGGCAGCTCCAGGGTGACCATCCGCATTGTCTGCACTGTGGGTGCTGACGTTAATGCAGGGCTGTGGACCAGCGCAAAGGGCCGCGGTGGGTAGCTGACCTGCAAACATGGCCTGGACGTCTGCAGGCCACGCAGAGACGAGAGTGTGACTCCAGGCTGCCCCCCACCCCTGCCGGGCTCTGCTTCCGTGCCACAGGCTGGGCCTCGGGTGAGGCCTGCTGGGCTCTGGGAAGGGAGCAGCGCCTGGCTCTCTCCTGTGGGCACCGCCTGCCCTCTGCTGTCCAGAAAAGGGAACTGTGGGCAGCCACATCGCTGCCGCCTCCTCCTCCATGTCCACAGTGGGATGGGGAGAACCCGCTAGAAGGCCGAGCAGGGCCGGCTGCTCCCTCAGCGCACAGATCATACATGGACTCTACCAGCTGTGTGTGCATGCATATGTGCATGCATGTGTGTACATGCTACCAGGGCTTGAACTCAGGACTTTCCACTCTCACTGGGCTTTTTCACACAAGCCTGCCATTTGCGTACACCTCTGGGTCTGGCTTTTGCTGGTTCATTGGAGATGGGAGTCTCAAGGACTTTCCTGCCCAGGCTGGCTTTGAACCTCAGTCCTCAGACCTCAGCCTCCTGAGCAGCTGGGATGACAGGCGCAAGCGACCAGCACCGGCTGATTCTCGCCTGTTGCCACACGGTGCGGTGTAGCTGTGTTTACATCATAAACACCACCAGCATTCTCCTTCCTGATGGGTGGGTAGCGTTTGTGTGTGCGCGTGTGTCTCACTCATCTGTTGTGGCCTATTCTCACACCTTGCCCGTGGTGACCAGTGTGTCCACGTCTCCACTGTGTGTGTGACAGTAATGCGTGGACAGGCTCCAAGGGCAGAGGGCAGGCTGTGGGTCCCGTGTTGGGGTCCAGAGGCTTCCCACGCCTCCCCAGCAGCCCCACGGCCCCGGTGGTCTTGCTGTGAGTCAGCTGCGCTCCCCGGCGTGGCCGCTGCTCGCGGGTGGGACGGGTCCCCGCTGCCTGACTTGTGCCTCCTCCGTGGCCGTGGGGAAGGGAGGCCGAGCGCCTCTCCATCCTCATTTCTTTTTCTGAAAAGGCTTTGTTTGGCTCACTTTCCCACTCAGCGCTTGGGCCATGGGGTCTTTGGGGTTTAGTTTTGGCACGTGTCTTCTCTCTCATGTGGAAGCTCAAGCTGAAATGGTAACAGATCGTGGCCCCACGCATGCGCACTGACAACAGGGCTGCCATGGCCCCAAACAAAATTTAAAAGCATACTAAAAAAAAAAGACAACACAAATGCAAAAAGGCAAACAGCAAAATGCGCCGCGCCGACGACGCGGTCTGGGAACGAGGATGATGCAGCAGGCGACGGCCGAGGCCTGGGCTGAGGACCCGCTGCTCCCCGCCGGCGGCGGCGGGCGCTGGGCGCTCACTGAGCTTTGTCTTCAGCCACTTCCCAGGGCCACTAGGCCGATCCAGCCTTTCCATCCGGCACTCCGGAAGGAACGGCCATTCCAGCCCCGCTGTGAAGCTTTGGGAAACCATCAGTTCAGTCTTTAACACATGGCTTTGTGCTGGATGCCAGCAGCTCACGCCTGTCATCCCAGCTACTCCAGAGGCTGAGTCTGAAGGTCAAGGTTCGAAGCCAGCCTGGACGGGAAAGTTCCTGAGACTCTTATCTCCACTAAACTACTCTGGAAAAGCTGGAAGTAGCTCTGTGGCTCCAGTGGTAGAGCGCCAGCCCTGAGGAAAAGAAACTCAGGGACAGTGCCCAGGCCCTGAGTTCAAGCCCCAGGATTGGCACTCTCTCTCTCTCTCTGATGTGTTCCCCATTTCCTGTCCTCCTTCCAGTGAGGGAGTCTTACCCTGTCCATCTTGGCTGGATGCCCAGTGTCTCCTGAGCATCAGCGAATGAATGAATAAATGAATGAATAAATGAACAATCAAGGAAGGAAGGCACAATGGGTGAGTAGCACCAAGGTCATTTCACACAAGGTCATAGCAAGGAGCTTTGGGTGTTCAGGTTCTTCCAGTACCTTGAATTTGCTTTGTTCCCTTGTCTGAAGGAGCTCTACTATGTGAGCCACACCTCCACCCTTGCTTCTTGCTGCTTACTTTGGATATGGAGCTCAAGGACTTTGCCCAGGTCCAGGGGGTCAGACAGGGAAACAGAGTCAGAATGGCCTCCGGGTTGGCCAGGGGGTCTCCCAGCCCCTGCGTGGCAGCGTGGTCAGGTGGGGGGCGGCTGGTCGCCCCCGGGCAGGCGGAGGTTGGGGTTCTTCAGGAAGAATGCCAGCTTCTGGGCCACGCCGTGGAGCTCGTGGGGGTGGGTGGACTGCAGGAGGTTGCTGTGGGGCACGAAGTAGTGCCTGAGGAGGTGCTGGCTCACGCACTTGTGCAGCTTCCGTACCAGGCGCAGGAGCGCCGGCCCCGGCTCCCGCCAGGCCCTGGGCTGCGGGTGCTTCTCACAGGTCCAGAGGAGCACGGTCTGTGGAGGGAGGAGGAAGGAGGGGGCGAGGGGAGGAGGAGGGGAGTGGAGAGGAAGGGGAGGACGGAGAGTAGGGAAGGGGGGAGGAGGAGGGGAGGGGAAAGGAAGAGGAGGAGGGGAGGAGAAGGGGAGGAGGAAGGAGAGGAAGGGGAGGAAGGGAGCAGAAGAAGGGGAGGAGAGGAGGAGAAGAAGGGGAGGAAAGAGAGGAAATGTATAGGGGGAGGAGGGGAGGAGAGAAGGAGAGGAGGGAGAGGAATGGAGGAGGGGAAGAGGGGAGGAAGGAGAGGAGGGATGTCACCTTGGCACCCCCCCCCAGCATCAGGCGGGCAGAGATTCAGGTCCCCTCCCTCCTCTCCTCCCCAAGTCCACAGGGCCCTGCTTCCAAGGACTCTGTGAGGTGCAGCCACCTCTCCCTCCACCCCCCCCAACCCCCCAAGAGCTTTTATTTTTTATGCTGGTCAAGGCGCTTGAACTCTGGGCCTGGGCGCTGTCCCTCAGCTCTTCAGCTCAAGGCGAGCGCTCTACCACTTGAGCCACAGCGTCACTTCCGGTTTTCTGGTGGTTTATTGGAGATGAGGGTCTCAGGGCCTTTCCTGCCCGGGCTGGCTTTGAACCATGATCCTCAGATCTCAGCCTCCTGAGTAGCTGGGATGACAGGCGTGAGCCACCAGATTTCCCCCCATCCTCTTCCTTTGGGCCACTGGCTTGGGAACAGCCCCCCCCAACCCCCAGGGGCCTCCAGCTTTCTCCCCCCGCAGCCCCTTCCCCCCCCCTTGCTCTCTGGAGTTTTCTGGATGTTCTCACTCTGTGGCCATCCCCAGCGCGGGGTCCTCATTCTCACTGCCAAGCCTGCCCTCTGCCCGCCTCCCCTCCCCTGACCTGCACTGTCTGCTCAACATGTCTGGGCCTCTCCCCACACGCTGCCTCCCTGTGGGCCAGCCACAGCTTGTCCCGCCCCGCAGCGGCCCTTCCCTAAAGATCAGTCTCCTTTCCTGCCAGCCCAAGCCCCTTCCAGTCCATTCCCTAGAGATCCATGGACTGTGAGCTCTGTTCCCTGCGTCCCTTTCCAGTTGCTAGGAAAGTTCTGGAATCTGCTACGTGCCACCAGCTGAGGACCAGATAGAGAAAAGCTGGCCCAGGTACACGGTGGAGTACCACTCAGTGGTCAAGAAGAATGAACGCGAGCTGGGAAGGTGGCTCAGTGGTAGAGCGCTTGCCTCGCATGCATGAGGCCCTGGGTTCGATTCCTCAGCACCACATACGCAGAAAAGGCCGGAAGGAGAATGAAAAAGCCTGTCACATACGCAGATACAGGTGGAACTAGAAGACTTGAGTTGAGAGAGAAGCCAGGTAAGCAGACACTGAGTACGGTTACTGGCTGAGATCTCAAAGCGCACATGACAAAGGCTCAACTAAACACGGCAGACTCGTGACACCCCTGAAACGGTGCCCAGGGCCAGGCACAGAGCCCAACATGGTGGTCTCTGCTGTGACCCAGGCCCTGGGCGGCCCAGTGCACCCACAGCCCGGCCCATCCCGCCTCCCCGAGGCCCGGCCTCCCCGCGCGGTCACCTCCAGGTGCTGGGCGGTGATGAGTGGCCTCGGCCCAGGACACCACACGTCCTCTGTCAGCTGCTTCAGCAGCCGCAGGCAGCGGCGACGGCAGCCCCCGTCCTCGTCCATCTGCACCAGCAGCGCCCGCTCGGCCTGCACGAAGCTCAGCTGCCAGTGGTAGCCGCCGCCAGCCACCAAGCTGAACCCAAACGACTGCGGGGACCAAGGTGACAAGACCGTGGGGTGGGCCAGGGCAGCTAGCTGGACACGGGGTGGGGGGGGAGACAGAGGAGGCCAGGGACAGGGGACCATGGGCCAGGGCAGCTAGCTGGACATGGGGGGAATGGAGGAGGCCTGGAGACAGGACAGCTCTCTTCCCTGGGCCTCGGCCTGTGGGGTCCCCAAGGGAAGGTTTGGGGAGGCAGGCCATCGTTCTGACAACCTCTGGGCTGGTCCCCCTCTGAGTGACCCCAACTTCCCAGGGCTCCCCTCTTCACTGTACCTTCACGCACTGCACCGTCTCCGGGGGCGGCCAGCGCCTCAGACACCGGGGCCACCGCGCCTTCCCCGGCCAGGTGCCGGGCACTTCCACGGTGGGGGCCAGCTCCACGTCCACCGGGCCCGAGCCCGTCTCCACCACCACCCAGATGGCAGTGCGGTCCTCCAGGAGGCTGGCCTGGCCTGCGGGCACAGCACGGTGAGAGGGGCGGCCACGGGGCTGCGGGACAGCCCTGGGCTTGGGGACACCCCGCCCCCTCACCAGCCAGGCCGCAGGTGGCGATGGCGCGCTCCAGCAGCGTCCGGAACACCTGCAGGACCTTGGCGGGCACCAGGTCACCCTCGGTGCTCACGTCTGGCCCGTGCCACAGCCCCAGAGGCCTGGTGAACTGCTCCAGCTCCAGCCACTGCGCCAGGCCCTCGGGCGCCCGCAGCGGGCAGCGCAGCCGTGTGCCCTGCAGCGAGTAGTAGCGCCAGCGCTGCGCCCGTGCTTCCCGGTAGCCGGCCAGGCCTCGCACCGGCACAGTGACCAAGAGCTGGCGGGGTGCCAGGACCTGGGGCAGGAGAAGAGAGGAGAGGGAGGTGGCCGCGCCTGGCCAGTGGAGGCCGTACAGGCCCGGGGGTGGCCGATCGTCCCACAGGGTGGCAGAACTGACCACACAGCTCAGCCAGGCTGAGTAGACAGAAAAGCGCCTTTGGCTGCAAGATAATGGGGTCGCTGCTGTGATTCACTCACTGAGGTCTGGGGTTTGTGAACCCAGAGGTGAAATGAGTGAAAGGAATGTGAATCTCCGGACAGGATGTAGGTTTGGGGGAGCCGGGGCGGGGAGCCAGGTGCTGGGGGCTCCACCTGTCATCCCAGCTACTCAGGAGGCTGAGATCTGAGGATTGCAATTCAAAGCCAGCCCGGGCAGGAAAGTCCAACAACTATGCAGCAAATAGCTGGAAGTGGCGCTATGGCTCAAGTGGCAGAGCACCAGCTTTGAGTGAAATAGCTCAAGGACAGCACCCAGGTCCTGAGTTCAAGCCCCAGGACGAGCACACAAAAAAACATGTGCAGAAAGATGACCCTGGCTTCCTTCTCCGCCTGCCACCCACGAATCCCCTGCCACTCACTTCCCCAAGGAGCTCCAGGCCCTGGCCTGTCCGTGACCTGCTCAGTCAGTGCTGAGCGGAGGGCATGCATGTCCCTCTGCCAGAGTTTGAACTCAGGCCGGCTCGCTTGCTTACAGGGCGCTGACGGGGCTGGCCCTCTTGCCCTTGGGCCGGGCCTCCAGTGTCCTGATAGGGGGCGCCTGCCACACACGGGGTCCCCCACGATGTGTCGGGGCACGGGAGGAGGCGCGGGCTGACCTTGATGTGTCCGTGGTATGTGTCTGAGCATGGCACGGCTTGGAACCGGGTGTCCTGGTGGCTGATTTCCGTGGTCAGACAGTGGACGACCTTCTGCACCTCTTCTACCGTCTGGGAGATGAGCTGGCGCCTCAGCTCCACCTAGGGGTGGGGGACTCAGCCATGTGGTCATTGCTGTGTGAGCCCAAGGCCCGACCACGGGGTGCCTGACCCAGACTCAGAGCGAAATCCACCCTATCTGACTGTGGCTGGATGGTTTTTGTTCTGTGTTTTGGTCTGGTCCTGGGGCTCGAACCCAGGCTCTCAAATTCTTGCTTGTGGTTGCTTTGTTCAAAGCTGGCCACGCCTCCACTTCTGGCTTTTTGCTGGTTAACTGGAGAATAAGAGTTTCTTCCCAGGCTGGCTTTGTCCCACCGTCCTCAGCTCTCAGCCTCCTGAGCAGCTGGGATTGCAGGCGTGCTGTATACTGATGGTCAGTGATTCAATACTGGGTCACAGGACCCCAGTAAACAAGATTGAGATCCTGCTCCTTCCCTGGGAAATACAAGGTGTGTGTGTGTGTGTGTGTAAAACCTGCTTTGATGAAGGTTAATACATTTGAATGACTGTAACGGCTAGTGGAGTGAGGGGTCCCCTGTGGACGTGTGTGTTGACCGAGCCAGGGGCCCCAGGGCGGCCCCTGCGGCGGGAGCCTGAGGAAGAAGAAGGAAGGGCAGGCAGAATTATCTGGAAAGGAAGGAGAGCAGCTGGTCAGCGGTCAGCATGGTTCTGCAGACCCTGACACCAGGAGGGAAAAAGTGCGAGGGGCGCCAAGCCCACGCTGGCTGCCCTTTGAGACACCTGTGAACACCCCAACTTGGCGCGAATCAAGTCAAGCCCAAGTCAAACATGCCCTGCTTCTTCCCAGGCGCCGGTGGCTCATGCCCGTCATCCCAGCTACTCAGGAGGCTGAGATCTGAGGACTGTGGTTCAAAGCCAGCCTGGGAAGAAAAGTCTAGGAGACTCTTAACCTCCAGTGAACCATCACAAAGCCAGAAGTAGGGCTGTGGCTCAAGTGAGTGAAGAAGCTAAGAGTCAGCACCTGGGCCCTGAGTTCAAGCCCCAGTACTGGTGTGCATGTGTGCACGCTCACACTCACACACACTCACACACACACACACACACAAAGTTTGGCAAATATAATCAAACCACAAGGTTCCAGCAGACTCTTGCGAAATGCCCTGTGGACCTGGTCTAGACCACAAGAGCTCAGAGGGCCTTTCCAGGCAGGCAGAGTCCTGCAAGGGCAGACAGCAAGCAGGACTTCCCAGCAGGCAGAGTCATGCAAGGGCCGAAGCCTGGGCCAGAAACTTCCAGGAGTGCGCCAGAGATAGGAAGGAAAAGCAGGGTGCAGGTATAGGGTGCAGGGAAGGGATGGGGTATGGGTCACAGAGGTATCCTGCTGGTTTTGGGGGGCAACTGTTGGGTTAGCTCCCCAAGGCACTGTGGCACAGTGGGAAGGCCCTATACAGGGGCCCATGAGGCTGGAGGACCCACAGGGCTCAGTTCTGGAACATTCTCCAGCATCTCTCTGGCCTCCGGGTAGGAGCCGGGCTCTGAGGCAGCTCTGCAGGGGAGGGCAGGCCATTTCCCGGCTGGTTGCATTTTCCATCCTGACAGGAGCACTGAAGTCTGAGCAGATTTAAGGCCTGGGCTTCTGACTGGGTGTAACGGGAGCAGAGTGAGCTGGTGGGGAGATGTGGGATGGGGGAATCGGCATGGGAGATGGGGGGTAGGGTGGGGATGGGTAGGTGAGGGGATGGGAGATGGGGAGAGGGGAGATGGGGGATGGGGTGATGAGGGGCTGGGGGATGGGGTGGGGGCTGGGGGAGATGGCAAGCAGAGCCCCTCCATGCCAGTCTCTGAGTCTCCTCATTGTTGGTCAAAGCCTGGGACCATGACAGAAGGGCTGCAGCCTCGAGAACGCCCTGCCCTCCTCACGGAGTTTCTTTCCAAGAAGGAGAAGCTTAGACGTGGGTTTCAGGGCAGAGGGAGACGCAGGAGGCAGACGCAGCTCCGTCCGTGCACAGAGGACAGCCACAGCAGCCAAGCCGCCCTTCCCGCCTCCGCTGAGGACACCAGCGAACGAAGGCGCGGCGCGCTCTTCCCAGCGTCCGTGCGGGGATGGACGGACAGGTGTCACTGAGACACTGGAGCGTGGGGTCGGCCGCCACAGCCACCTGCTGCCCGGAGCCAGACCATTGGGCCACAGAGCAGCCAGAGTGTGCCACCCCCAGGCACCAATAGGTGTCTATGCACACACACACACACACACACACACACACACACACACACACACACACACATACACACACACACTCCTGGTGACCTCCCTTGCCAACCACAGCCTCTTGTTGCCCCAGCAACCATCCAGGGCTATTCATAGCTCACGTCTGTGAACCACTTCCTGTTTTAAGTATCAATGATTGGGTTCCAGATTGATCCTTATCATCTTGGCTGGCTGTGACTCACTACCGGTGGCTGGAGGCCACACCCAGGGCCGCGGTCTGTTTGTCCACCCCACTGACTGCTGAGAATTTCCTTCCAGAAAACAGAAAGTGAGTGAACCCCATCATCCCCAGCTCTGCCCGCAGGGGCTGGCAGTGGAGAGAGGGATGGAGGTTGGAGTTCTGCGGCAGATTCAGGGGTCAGCGCTACCCCCAATCCTCACCCCCCCCTTGGCTAACTCTCCACGAGCCCAAAGAGTGAGTGCCCATGGGTGCCCGCCGTGCCGCTGTGACGGAGCCGAGTCTCTGGGGGCTGAGCTTGTCTGCCCCCAAAGTCCTTTCCCCTAGCTACAGGTGAGAAACTGAGGCTCAGAAAGTGTAGGTTACTAAGTTATCACAGACGCAGGACCACCCTGCTGTCCAGACGCGAGAGTGAGGGCCCAGCCCCTCCCGGGCGCAGCCCCTGCCCTCCCCCCCATCATGAGAGCCCACACCCCCATACTCGTCCCCGCAGAGCAAGCATCCCTCCTTTCTCCTGCAGTCATGGCTCAGGCCCAGCGTCCCGGTCCCGCCCAGGGTTCAGTAGCACCATGGCGTTCTGTGTCTGCAGAGAGGCCAGGGGAGGAGAGGGCCAGCCATGTGACCCCAGCACCCCCCAGCCAGGGTACCTCACTTCTAGGGTCTACGAGCTAATTCAACAGCACCTGACTCCCCTAGATAAAAGGAGGTCCTAAGCACACCCCAACCTTCCAGCTGCTTCCATGGCTCATTTTCCCTTCTCTCCCATGAACCCTGTGGAGTAGCTATACTGGGGCTTGAACTCATGGCCTCACATTCTTGGCTGGCATTTTTACTTAAGGCTGGTATTCTACCGCTTAACTCACAGCTCCACCTCTGGCTTTTTGCTGCTTTTTTTTTTTAACCTTATTGGAGATAAGAGTCTTATGGAAGTTCCTGTCCTGGCTGGCTTTGAGCCACAATCCTCAGCTCTCAGCCTCCTGAGTAGCTGGGATGGCAGGCGTGATGCCAGGAGTTCTGAGGTCATCGATTCCAGTCCACCAGAAGCACCCATTTTTTTCCTCTCTGTCATGAAGCTTGAACTCGGGGCCTGGGCACTGTCCCTGAGCTCTTTTGCTCAAGCCTGGTGCTCTACCACCGTGAGCCATGGCACAACTTCTGGTTTTGTGGTGGTTCATTGGAGATAAGAGTCTGGTGGGCTTTCCTGCCCAGGCTGGCTTCGAATTGTGATCCTCAGACCTCAGCCTCCTGAGCAGCTAGGATGACAGGTGTGAGCCACCAGCTCCCAGCTCCAGTGTCTCCGCTTTTAAAAAGGTCTGTCTTAACTTCACTTGCTCCTTTCCCCCCCATGGCTCTATGAATCTCCTGGTATTCCCACCCCATTTTACAGAGAAGCAAACTGAGGCTCAGGCTGGTTTGATGGCTTGCTGGGGACACACACATGCGATGCTACAGTCGGGGTCTGTGTCCACACCTCACATGCCCCGCCCCACCCCGTCCAGGAAACCCAGCTGCCGCTGTCCAGGCCCCAGGCTTGCCCGGTGTGCTCCAGGTTGCAGGGGGCGTGGTCCGCCCTGTTCTAGGCAGGGAGGTCCAGAGCTGTGGCCGTGGTGTGGCTTACCTTGTCCAGCAGGGCACTTTCCAGGTCTTCTCCGGGGAGAGATCTCATGGCTTCCCGGTGGATCTGGAGCCTGGCAGCCACTTCTCGGAGGACCGCGCCGTGGGCGCCGAACACTGGGACCTCTCAGCCCTGCTCCAGCCGTGCTGCCCACGTGGAGCCGCTCTAGCTGTTAACTTGTGAAGAATTCACACAACAATTCAAAGGGAGAGCTGGCCATAGGACTCATCTGCCCTAGCACTAGCGGATCTTGTTCTCTCGTGGTCTGAGGGGGGGGGTTGCGGGGGGGGGGCTCCAAGTCCCAGTCCCCATCTAGTTCTCCAGTTCCATTGGACATCAGGCCCCTCCTCTCCTTCCCTCTCCCCTCCCTCCTCGGCCTGTTCACCGTAAACAGCCCTCACCCCAAGACTTTACCATAAACAAATAGGAAATGGCTAAGTGGGCAGCAGCCATGGGCAGCAGCCGGTGCCCAATCAGCCCGGGGCTTGAGAGTTGGCATTAGCAAAAGCACACACCCAGGTACACACACAGTACACCTGTGCACAGAGACAGACAGACAGACAGAAAGAGGCTGAGATGGGGGAAAGACAGAGATAGACAAAGACAGAGAGAGACACAGAGAGGTGTGCCCACGTGTACACACACACACACACCGAGGAATGGCCGGGCAGGGACCCGCCTGCTCACCTTCTGCCCTGTAGATGTAAATTCCCTCTTCCCATTGAAAGCTGGCATTCAAAACCCAGAGCTGCCAACACACTCTGAGTGTGGAGGAGACGCTCGGCCAGGTTTTGCTGGTAACTCTCCCTCACGTCAGGCAACAATTCAGGCAGTACTGCCCCTTGTCGGCCGGCTCCCCTGGGTGGCTACTACAGGAATGCCCAGCAGGGCCGGAGCCCAGCCACCCCGTGCAGCTCCACCCAGCACCACCCCCCCCAAGCTTGGGATTTGCATATGGTCCCAGACAGCGCCCAGAGGAAGCTGGGGAGCCACTGAGGGCCAGCCGTGCTCCACCCGCCATAGCCCAGACACCAGTCCTGTCCAGGATCCCAGCACCTGCAGAATGGCCCCGGCTTTCCCAGTGCCCCCCTCTTCTGGCTTACAGGAGCAAATCATTCTATCTCTTTATTCAGACATTTTACCTTATCTTTAAGTAGTTGCCCAGGAGGATTTCCATTCAGAGGGTCAGTTCCTGGGTACCACACCCCGGGCCCAAGCCACGCCTCTCCGCCCTGCCAGTGGCCCCGGTCTGTTTTCACTTACTGAAATGAGAACTTGCCTGCCCTTGCTCCCTCTCCCCTCCCCTCCCCCCTCCCTGCACTTCCCTCCAACACAGGCTTGGGCTTGTGCACAGCTCTGTGCGTGTGTTTTCACGCACATTCCTAGTGTAGGCCTCGCTTCCCCAGTGAGAGGAAATGGCGCTGTTTCTCTGGCCTGATTTCCATTATTTAGCATCACTCTGTGTGCGGTGTTTTACCGCATCTTTGCTTTGCATCGGCCCACCCCCTGCTTTTTATATCAAATGCTCCAGAACAGGAAGATTCCAGGATCTTCTTCCCTTGGCTTCTCTTACACCAGTCTTCTCGCTGACGCGCCATCTTGGTTTTTCGCAGGTTGGCGCAGGAGCGGCGGGTCTGGAGGAGCTCTGCTGACCTCTCTGCTTGACTTCCCCCATGTCCATGGGCCTCCGCTTCCAAACCACGGAGGCAGGCCCCGGGCTGGGCATGCTGTTTTCTGGGTCACTATAAAGACCACGGCCACATGGGGCCTTCCATCGGGTGTGCTGTTTCCCACGCCGGTGCTGCGCCAGCATTCCCAAGGGAGAAGAACGCAGCCAGTGGCCCCTCCCCCCACCCCGCACCCTCCTCCTGTGCAGCACACAGTGAGGAGCGGGAATGGGCAGACCACTGTGCCAGCCCCGGTGCCCAGGCTGGTGCCGGTGGCTCATGCCTGTCACCCCAGCCCCTGAAAAGGCTGAGATCCGAGGATCACGTGTTAAGGCCAGCCTGGGCACAAAAGGCCTAGAGACTTTATCTCCAAAAGTACCAGCAAAAACCAGGGCTGGGGCTGGGAAGGTGGCTCAGTGGTAGAGCGCTTGTCTTGCAAGCATGAGGCCCTGAGTTTAATTCCTCAGCACCACATAAGCAAAAAGAAAAAAGCCGGAAGTGGCGCTGTGGCTCAAGTGGTAGAGTGCTGGCATTGAGCTGAAGAGCTGAGGGACAGCGCCCAGGCCCAGAGTTCAGGCCCCACGACCGGACCCAAAAAGAAAAAAGAAAAACAAATAAAAAGGCTGGGAAGGTGGCTCAGTGGTAGAGCGCTTGCCTTGCATGCATGAGGCCCTGGGTTCGATTCCTCAGCACCACATAAGCAAAAAGAAAAAAGCCGGAAGTGGCGCTGTGGCTCAAGTGGTAGAGTGCTGGCATTGAGCTGAAGAGCTGAAGGACAGCGCCCAGGCCCAGAGTTCAGGCCCCACGACTGGACCCCCCCCCAAAAAAAAAAGAATTTGCACACTCGGCTACAAACTATCAAAAATAAGAGTATGTAGATGGACCATATGCTGAAAGCTATTCACCATTAAAAAAAAAAAATCCAGCCTATATCCAGGATGGCTGTCTGAAGGCCCATTGCAGCTGACGTTAAGATGTCTTCCAGTGTTGGGAGCATTTCCTATTCTATATCCTTTGGGAAAACCTCTCTTGCCTGAACTTTCCATTTCCCTGAGGGCTTTGACGCCCACAGCGCCCTCTGCCGGATGAACGTGGCTTTGGCCCTGGTCAGCCTCAGCTTTGTGTTTAGATCACGCAGGCCCTGATTATTCTGAGATCATCAGAATTTGGCCTTGCGATGGTCTGTCCATCCTGTCACACTGTCCTTGGCTTTATTTTTTTCCTTTTTTTTTTGGCTGATCCTGGGGCTTGAACTCAGGGCCTGGACACTGTCCCTAAACTCTTGCTTAAAGCTAACTACTACTTGAGCCACAGCACACTTCCAGTTTTTCCTGTGATTAATTGGAGATACAAATCTCATCGGAGTTTCTTGCCCAGGCTGGCTTTGAACCGGGATCCTCAGATCTCAGCCTCCTAAGTAGCTAGGATTACAGGTGTGAGTCACTGGCGCCTGGCTTGCCCTCAGCTCTGAGAACAGGGTTCACAGGTTGGGAAGTTGTGTGCAGCTCTCTGGCCAACAGTCAAGCAGAGGTCAATGAGTTCTGGAGGAAGACCAGGACACGGGCATGTCCTTTGTTCATTCTAACTGCTTGGGAGGCTGAAGGTCAGCCTGTGCTGAAAAGCTCTTATGACCTTATCTCAACCCACAGCGGGGTGCATTGGTACATGGCTGCCATTCAAAGCCACATGGGAGCTGAGATGGGGGGGGGGTCACAGTTCCAGGGCAGGCAGAAAAGATCTCACAAGACTCCATCCCCATGGAGGGAAGCCAGCTGTGGGGTCACACATCTATAATCTAGAAATTATGGTGAGCCTGAAGCTGGCAGCTCAGGAACATGCTGGGGAGCAAGGCCCTACCCCCCAAATAACCAGAGAAGCACAGGGCTGGGGGTGAGACCCCAGTGGTATCCTCCCAGCCTCCCAAGTGTGGGGCCCCTGAGTTCAAACCATCTACCCCCCAAAAAGGGAGGAGCGAGGCATGATGGTGCTCATATGCTGGTATGCCTGTAATCCCAGACCAAGGGAGGGGAGTCGGAAATTCAAGGCTAGCTTGGAGTTGCATAGTGAGAAAAGCAAGAAGGAAGGCAATGAGGAAGAGGAGGAGGCAGAGGAAGTTGAAGAAGAGGGGGAAGAGGAAGAAGAGGTGGAGGAGGAGGAAGAGCAGTTAGAACAGGAGGAGGAGGAGGGCCAGGCTGGTGTGTGTGAAGGAATAGGATAAATAGGATAAAAAGTGCATCCACCAACAAAAGAGGTCTTGGAGAAACCAGCCCTGAAGCTCAGGCCAGCCCTGTAGCCGGTGACCTTGCACCTGCAGCCTGTGACCTTGGCCTCCGTGTGTCACCAGGCTGCAATGTTTCCTGCAGTCCTGGCAGGCGAGCTGGCCTGGGCTCCCAGGGTGACCGAGCCATCTTAGAGGGTCCAGATCCCGGGCTTGAGGACCAGCAGCTCGGGTTCCACATTTTGTGGACATGTCAGGCAGTCCTGTTTCAGCGTGGCTCCGTCCAGCCACAACCCTACCATCCATCAGTCAATCAACCGTCCAGGAGAGGGCAGCCACATCCTCGAGACATGTTTCTGCCATTCTCCCATCCCTTGGGCTTGAGGACAACTCTGTGTGTGTGTGTGTGTGTGTGTGTGTGAGATGGGTCTTGAACTCTGGGCCTGGGCGCTGTCCCTTAGCTCAAGGTGAGCGCTCTACCACTTGAGCCACAGTGCCACTTCTGGTTTTCTGGTGGTTTATTGGAGATAAGAGTCTCATGGACTTTCCCACCCAGGCTGGCTTTGAACTGCGATCTTCAGATCTCAGCCTCCTGAGTAGCTAGGATGACAGGTGGGAGCCGCTGGTGGCTGGCTTTGATCACAGAGCTGTCTCAGCACTGTCACCCGTTGCTCTCCACGGCTGCCCTTCCTCAGACCTGGTGGGTTCTGTCTGTGGTTCAGGTATGGGGTGAGTGGCTGGCCAAGGGTCTTCTGGAGGAGGTGGGGTGGGGTCTGTAAGAGGAGGGTCCTACTGGGAGGTGCAAGGACCTGGGAGCACTGTTCTCGGAGTCATCCTGAGGCTTCCTGAGTTAGCCCTGAGGAGTGAGCTGGGCTCCAGCCCACATTGGCTTCCTGTCTTGCCAGTGTTGCCTCTGTCTCTGTCTCGACCATCGCTGAGGCGGTCTGCTGAGGCCCAGGCCCCCGGTGGTGGTGGGGAGGGGAGACCAACACCATAGACCTGGAGAACAAGCTAAAGAACCTCTGTTCTCTACAAGTCCTCCAGCCTCAGGCGTTTTGGTGGGGAAGGAAAAGGGGCCAGAGACAACAACATTGACATTAAGAATCTGAGGTGAAAACTTCCTTCTCCCTTTCCTCCTCAGGCCCCAGGGAAAACTAGAGAGTAGACAAAGGCACTAATGAGAGTAAGGGAGGCTGCTTCCCCAGGGAGATAAAAATCTCCCCTAGGGACTGTCTGCTGGGAGCCTCAGACTCCACTCCTCAATCTGCTAAGGAGTTTCCAGGTGCTAATGGCCTGGGGGTGCTAACCACCGCTAACTCCCATTGGCTAACTCCCCGGGGAAGTTTTTCCTCCACACCCAGCCCGACTGAGGGAGTGGAGGCTGCAGCTCTCAACTCCACCCTCCCAGCACTAACGTAAATCTTGGCAGAAACTTCAAACACAAACATACTAAAGCTGGTGCTGGTGGCTAAGCCTGAAATCCCAGCTACTCAGGAGGTTGAGATCTGAGGATCACGGTTCAAAGCCAGCCCCAGCAATAAAGTCTCTGAGAGTCTTATCTCCAGTTAACAGAGGAAAAAGTCAGAAGTGGAGCTGTGGCTTACGTGGTAGAGTGCCAGCCTTGAGCAATAAAAGCTAAGGAGAATACCCAGGCCCCAAGTTTGGGCCCAACTACCGCCACACGGGAACACAGGCTTGCGTGTTACACTGTTACATGCACGTGCACACATGCACGCATGCACACAATCAACACTGGGAAAATAACACCTGGCCTTTTGGCAGGTTCTCACTCCCCACTCAGTAAAAGTGGTGAGTTCTGTCCTTCCAGACACCAGTGACGGAGAGCAGAGGCCTCCACGTTTCCTACAGAGCGGGGCCTGAGCGGGGAAGCCACATTTACCTATACTCACATCCACACTTCTCAAAAGACTTCCTCAACTTACTATAAAAACACTAAGCTT